ATGTGACCAGTTCTTTAATGTCATTTTCAGACTTTTGTAATCCAAGTCAATCTTCTTAATTGTTTAGGTGCAGTTTAGTGAGCTTTAAACATCTTAATCACACAAGCCTGATTATATTTATATTGTGTGTGACTGAGAAGAAGGAGGAGGAGGAGGAGGAGGAGGAGGAGGAGGAATCATCCCGAACAGCATGTTCTCCTCTAAAAAGGAAATGGCTTTGTCGGTTTGGCTGTGTGTGTGTTCCAGGACCAGGGCACAGTGACACACTCCTGCGTTCACACTGGCACTTGGACAGTGGATAAAGTCATTCTGTCTGTCTGTGTGTGTGTGTGTGTGTGTGTGTGTGTGTGTAAACATATGAAGGCATCAGATAAAGAAATCCCAGGTCCTTGAAGATGGCTAAAACACTTGCATCAGTCCAACATAAACTCATAAACCAATTACTTTTTGCTTCCAGAGGCCAATAACCTGCCTGGAGATAAGATTAATGAGCAACGAAGAGAACCTAAGAGATAGCATAACATCAATACTGTAAACAATACCAAAGATACATTTAGATTCTAAAACTATTATTATCTATTTGATATTTAAAATGTATATAAATTAAATAAGGTGCATTACTTATTAGTCTAAAAGTAAAAGCCTCTAGGACTGATGTAGTCTAAAATAGGATTTAATTCAAAAATCAAATAAATAGAAACTCACATGGTGCTGGACGTTCCCTGGTTTCTAAAGTTGATTTTCCTATGTTTTGTAATCATGTTCCGGTGGTTTATGTTTTGGGTAATCAAGTCAAGGCAGTTACTATCAAAATTTCAGCTGGGTTGATGAATTGTTTCCAGTCAGAAAGTTGTTTTTCCAATTATACCAATAAGAGTGGGTGTGCCTTTGTCACCTGATTAAAAACAACGGCCCACACTGTTGTGCTGATGAAAATATATATTACAGTATATATTATCAGGGGGTATTTGTTATGATATCAGACTTATTGGAATGACGTCACAACAAATACCCATGATATATAATTATCTGTCAGATATTTTGCACACACCCCTAATTAAAACCATGAATCTCTCTGTGTTTTGATGATTTTAATCAGACGAGCAGTTAGTAGCAGTTAAAGACCTGAGAGAACAGCCAGGGCCAATCCAGGTGACTTGAACAATTCTTCTTCTCACTGGTGACTTTACTACAGAATGAGAGACTCAAACCTCCAGCTCCTACATCAGGACCAGGCCAGAGATACTAGAGAGTTTAGAACATTCTAGAAACCCTCTGACCTCCACCTTTGAGGGGACAAACAACACGACTTTTGAAGTGGACAACAGACAAGAAAACACTGAAGCTTGTTCAGACTGGTCTCTGTGTTTTGTCAGTATGTCCTTGTCAGTGTTGAGCTGTGTTGGAGGGCAGGAAATACACCAAATATCATACCAGGACTACTTGAGTCTAGGAATAATATATGGTTAGGGTTAGACTGTGGATTTAGTTTCAGTGAATACAAAAGAGGCTCAGCTACAGTAATATGACCGTGTTCCTGTTTCCTTGTTCCTCTGTCACTGCATCACACTTCAGAACAAAAAGCAGTGAATAAAAGAGTCATGTATTGCTACACTAATTCCGAGCCCACCACGGAGAAGTCGAACATCAAGATGTTCAAGGAAGAGTTTTGTCGTTTGTTGTTATTCCCGACAACAAGAAATGTTCAGGACCATTTTAAAGTCATGCTGAAAAAAAATTGCAATAATAATATTTTATTTTTAGAGTATTGTCCTGGAAGAAGTACAGTTTTGGTAAAAAAGAAAACTTTGTTTGCATACAGACTAATTTGGCGTCATGTACGAAAATAGATCCAACACTAGAGGCAGCATTGCCTAGGTCCAAGTATCTATCACATAGATCACAAAAGGATTTGAAAACAATTCTACTAAAAATTCAGACAACGTGAACTGGAAAATAATTCAACAAAGTTTACTTGACCAGCTGGACACATATTTATTCAAACTAACAGAGTCAGTATTTTATAGTATATTACAGTATAAGTCCAGGTTTAACATCTGTGATGAACGATTTGTGTCCAGAAACTAAGTGGCACCGTGACATAAACATCCTGCAGCAACATCTCCTGCTTCATATCACACATACTGTATCATCCAAGTCTCCTGACTCTCCCTTCATAGAAGAGTCAGCTCAGCTTTGAACCTTCAGCCATTTGGATTCTAACATGACGATGAGTTAAGAGCGCCTGAATGGAGTGCTAGTTTCAGCTGCATGTACTTTATGCTAACAAGTAGCTACAGGCTAGTCTATAATGTAAACCAAGGCTCCCTTAGCAAACTCCCTACAGGTCACATGTAGAGGTAATCACACCCCAAGACATACAGTATGAAACAGCTGTTTTGCTTCAGCCCTGGAGGCTACGCTGTTACTGTGACACGAACGCTAATCCAGCAGAGCCAGAGCGTGCGTGTGAGCACCTGTTTGTCTTTCTAGGAGAATAAATGCTGCAGAAGAGTACATGAAGAGTGAGACTTCAGGAGAGAAGGAGAAACAGAAGAAGAAGAAGAAGAAACATCATGCACGGACCTGGCATTTCCTTTACATATTTCTTAGCTAACTTTAAGCTATTAATGAACTGTTCTTGGCAAATTTCAATATTTTTACGAAGAAAGGTGTGTATACAATACACTGCAATACTATGGGCAAGACGATATATTGACTTTTTGCAAAAGATACCAAAAGTAGCACACACGATGCTGTTACACAGTTAACATCAGGTTACTTCAATTGGAACAGAAGGATCTACATTTGTACGTCAATATTTTTTTTTAAAAAAACATTGGTTCGGTGCTCTAGCATATTAATACGATAGTGTCAATATTTTCTTACAGCCCTAACAAAGACAAACACAGAGACACACGCAGAGACACACGCAGAGACACACACAAAGCTTATCAAGCCAATGAAAAGACAGCTGACCTTTTCCAGTGAGCCTGCTAGGAAATGGCCAACACTGTGGTCAGGTTTAGTGACACTGTATTAAAGTAAGCCAACATTATTTCAGGGTCACCTGTCCTGTCTCAAACTGCTGCTGCTGCTGTTTTTTATCATTGAATATCTGTAGTGCATTTTAAGGATGAACTCTCGTTAGCAGACAGTCATGATCGCCTGCCGTCTGCTGTGGAGCGCTGCTTCATTATCAACCCAAATTAGAATTTCAAACTCTGCCCCATCTTGGCTGATCATACCCCTAAAAGGTAATACTGAGTGCACGTGTGTGTCTGTGTGCACTTCTGAAACTCCTGGTTTATTCTGCAGCTTTCTGGAATTTGTCCTGGTCTCCATCAGCAGATGGACTTGGCTCAGTTGTCATGGAGACGGGCTACTGAATGCTAATACTGCCACACACACACACACACACACCTGGTTCTTTCAATGAAAGATGCTGATTAAAGTTATAGTGCACTAAAAACAAGTGTCCGAATATCTTAAAGAAAAACGTTTACTGCTTTGACAAACATCATATTTTGGTCTTGGGAAACACATGTAAGAAATATAGTTTTGGACAATTATAATTTTGGTCTTGGGAAACGTAAGAAATATAGTTTTGGACAATTATATCAGATTTTCTAACCATTTTCATTAACATTCAGCTATTTTTTACCAATTTTTATCTGCTTTAGGTCTATTATTATTATTATAACTATTATTATTCTTTTAACTTATCTTTGAAAGACAGTTAATTGGTTTTTATTTTTTATCTGAGCTGTGGTGGCTAACCCTTAGCTGTTTTTCTGTCCCATCTTATTTTTTTTCTACCTTTCTAACATTAATTAACTTTGGACATTCCTGGCTCAATTGATTAGTAACAATTATCCCTTTATATATATATAAAAACATTTCTTGTCCTCTGTACGTTTGAGGTCTAAATTTTGAGCTTTTATCTGTTTGGAAATGTCATGTTTTTAAATACATTTTACTATTCTTTTTTAAGTTTTTTGTTATCATATCCATTATTTTCAACATCATTAGGTCAGGTTCTGGTTGTACTAGGACTTTCAGACGACTATCCATCTGAACACAGAGAACCACTCCCAACTTCTTCTACAGAAGTTACAGATAACTGACAGGTAATATTTACAGAGATTTACAGTTACTTCCCTTTCCAAATACCCACAGTGGCATTTATGGTTTGGGTTAGGGGGGTAGAGCTAGATTTGAACCTACGACCCTCTGAATTGAGGGAGAACTGTTGTCCAAAACTGCTTTTAATTTAGTTTACTCTGAGGCAGCTAAATATAAAATACTAAACTTCTGAATGGGAAATGAACTTCTTAAAAGACCGTCAAGTTGTCGTGGTCCAAGGGGCAGGTGTAACCTACGCCCCCGTATTGTCGTTGTATGACTGGCTTTAGGCAACTTCTGCATCTGTTAGGGGAAGTGTTGGTGGAAGTGGACGATACCAGAGAAAACCATAACAAACATGGAGAGCGAACTGAAAAAATATGCCATCTGTCCAACAGCGGACTTGACCTGCTGCCCTAGGAGGGAGGCAACAGTCAGTAAACAACAGTTTGTTTTGTTTGTTTTCCGGCCTCTTCCCTCTGACAGTAGGCCCAAGTGTTGCCCTTCCTGTCACCTCACACAAGCCTGACGTTCCCCATTAAATCCACACATGTGGTCTGGGATAACACCAACAACGCTCAGATCTGTGACACTTGGCAAACCACCAGAGAAAACACTTCCTGATGTGTTGTATGAAATACGTGACA